GGTGGGAGTAATTTGAGATGGGTCAAAGGAGCGTGAGAACAAGAAAAGAGAGGAGAAGGACAGGTTTACTTACTGCAAAGAAGATGTTGTTGCCACCCTTACTCACATTTCTTATGACCGTTGAGGAACGAAGGGCTCGTGCCAAGCAGGAAGAGATTGAAGAAAAACAGAGAAAGGAAGAGGCGAAAAGAGCCAAGCACTTGCTCTTCAGTTGTGAACTTGCTCAGCATGCCAGAGATATTCCTTGTGTCAGTGTGTACCCCAGCGAATTCTACTAGGCCTACCCATTTCTAATCCTGGCCAGGAGAAGCGTCGCAGACTGGAGGAAGAGCAAGCTGCAGAAGCCGAGAAGGCCAGATTTGAGAAGGTTTGAGGTCCATCCTGAAGAATCAAGAGACCTTCTGTGTTGGCGAGGAACGTCTTCAGCGTGAGCAGCGAAAGCAAGACAAGCAGGATGGCGCATAGTGTCCGAGGAAGTCCTTGTAAGAATGCTTGTAACTTAGAACAAATGGAGCCGTTGATCTGACCTGTAAAAGAGGAAATCGAGAAATGGAGAAATCAAACTGATCCGAGTCATCCGAGCTTCAATTTCTTCAGGCGGCCAAGACCCTGCGCCAACGCTTCAAGAAGAGCGTTCAAGCTCAGTGCAAATTCGAGGCACTCGAGATGGAGGCCATAGCAGGGCGGCTCACGGAAGATCCGAAAAGGGTCGGTGACACTTCCAGTTTTACGTTATGGTGCAATTGGGACTAGTAGCTTCTTGCTACTAGTAGTAATGCCCTTGTTACTAGTAGCGATGCCCTTTTTATGACCCAATTGGGAACTTCTAGTGCAGTTGTGTCACAACCTAAACCTTTTGTCAGCTCACGATGGTCACCGATGTCCTCCTTTGATCAGACGCAACTGAGCAGAGCAAGTGGTTTTTGACCTCATGCAAAAACAATCCGGCTGCACATGTCTTTAACTTAAGCATCCCAGACTCTTTTGATGGTCTCTGAAGATGTCTAAGATTCAATCTCCAAGTTGTCACCAGGAGTTGCAGGACTTCTGTTTGCCTTTGGATGCTGAGCGCTTGCAAGAGCTTTGTGAAAGTCTTGAGGCACATCTAACATGCTATGTGGTGAAGTTGGTTGAGCTTTGTGTGTTTTTTGGAGCCAGCTTCTTTTTTCAGAAAGGGACGCTGTGGTGGCCCACGTTTTTTACTGTGCAATGGAACTGCATTTCTTATTGTTTCTTTAATCTTTCAAACTCTTCAAGCAAAAAAGGAGGATGAATTGCATTTGCTACATCAAAGAACATGTCAAGATGGAGAACACTACTATATGTTGTAAGCGGTCCCCGCCCTGTAACAGTATAACAATCAATTTATCTATTTCCAACTATTCAAACATTTACACCAGCGCACCCTCCATCCAATTGGTGTCCTAGGCCTGTTTGGCTCTCCTGCTTTTTCCATGTGCTTCCTTTCCATTCCAGTCATTTCACCCGGGCGCGGCCCCTACCCACACAGCAATACAAGCGACCTTACCTCCACCCACACCAGGCACAATCTCAACCTTCCGCCCACCCAGCACCTCACCCCACCCAGACCGTCCATTCAACCTCAAACCCACCAAGTCCCATGCACATTGATCATGTCGTAGAATTTTTATGTTGTTTCGACTTTGAGTTTTGATGCGAGTTTGCAGACAAGAGCGTGCCCGGCAGGTTCAGCCGATGCGTTTTAGACACCAAACACAGCCGTTTCTGAGAATGTGACACTGATTCGTGACCAATCAAGTGACAGCCGACAGATTTGTGATCAATCAAGTGACAGCGGCCCTGAAACCATAAAGGCCCACTCTTCATTGCAAGTGACCTCCCAACATCACAATCCGAACATGAACATATATATATATACCTTGGACAAAGTGAATAGTCGTGGAACGTTTTAACACATACATACACACACTTTACATGGCACACAATACGTTGCGTAATACATTGGCGCTTTGAAAAAATCTTGCACAGATTGAAGCTACAACGATTTATTGATTGCGGGGGCACAAATGCGTCATTGTACATAGGTTTCAGCTCCATTATTAACATTTCACAATGCTTTGCCCAGCGGCACACCTGGACCATGTTTGTTCCCACATGCAATGACCAAAAATTATGGGATTACACCACATCAATAAGGGCCTTCAGCGGGGAACTGGAACTATTCCAACCACCTGAGGTACACTCTGGGCAATGCAGAGAAAGCCATCAGAAAGGGTCATTGATATATAGACCGTCAAAATGGTCATGGATATGACTGACAAGGTTATATAACGACGGCGCGAAACTTAGAATGTGGGCCCACAGATATTTCAAAACACACTGCCAATTTAGAATGGGGGTCCGAACCCCCCAACTTAGAATGACTTTGGCTTGCTATATATTACAACAACAATTCTATAACTGTGGCTTGCTACAAACTTGGCACAAATGCTGCGGTATGATATCCTTCTAAGTTTAGCCACCACTGCAACCAAAAACATCAAGCTAGATCAAATTACGCTTCAAGACTCTGACGGCGGCCCTGGCTTAGAATGACTTTCGTTCATTACATCCCCTTGGAGAAAATCCAGCAAAGTTCGGTCCTTCCAGTTGTTTTTATTGGTGTCCTTTCTTCAAAAAAGCAGTCGCAAAAACCATCTCTGCTGGAAAACAAAGAGTGATTCCCTTGAATTTCCTGCATTTTCCCTTTCATTTTCTTTAACTTTTTTAAATGTTCCTTTCATTTATGTTCCTGTCATTTTCCCTTCATTTCAATTTAGTTTTCCTTCAATTTCATTCCAAAAAAAGAAACAATAGTGATTTAAGAATGAAAAACAAAGTGTTTTACGCGTGAATAAGAACGTGATTTAAGAGTGAAAAACACATGATTTCCTTGAATTTCATGCGTTTTCTGTTCATTCTTCTTTATTTCTTTTCACATTCCTTTCATTTTCGTTTCACTTCCTGTAATGTTCTTTTCGTTTCTTCAATTGTTTTTCAAACATAGTGAAAAACAATGATTTAAGAGTGAAAAAACACGAGTGAAACAATTTTAGAATCAAAAATGAGTGATGTCCTTGAATTTCCTTCCATTTCCGTTCATTTCCCTCCATGTTGTCTTCATTTTCCTTTCAGTTTCCTTGCTCTTCCCTTCAAACATCGACAAAAACCAAAGGGAAATGACAGGAACCAGCTCAAAACACAATTTTTCATTATTTTTAGTATTTTTTTTGACTGCAATTGTCTGTAGAACACTATTTCAAATCAATCTTTGTTTCACTCCCAAATCAAAAAATATTTTTTTTCTTCCACACCGAGCAACAACTCTCAATTGTAGCCACTGATCGGTGATTCTAAGTTTGGCTGTTGTTGAAAAGCGCAAATTTGACCAGAGGCATTCCAAAATCAAAAGCCACCGTCGGACTTTTTGCAAATGATTGTTTTTGCGAGCATGCCAAACTGTTTGGTCATTCTAAGTTTTTTGGCCCGTCTGACAAAACTGAGGGTATTGTCACTTTTTTCAATAACACCCATACAATTTAGAATGCACGGCATCCTATGTTTGTTTTCCTGCACAGGCACGGTGTTTTTTGGCCAAAACGTCCCAAAGTCAAAAGTGAGGAGGGGTTTCTGGTTTTTACATTTTCTTTTTCTCCGAAGTGACCATAAGTCATTCTAAGTTTCGCACCGTCGTTATATTGGTCCCCTACAATGCTGGAATGCATTGGGTTCAACTGGTGCTGGACATGAGGCCATTGTTTGGTAAGTATCAAAGGATTAGGTAGGCATCATATATTTGTTTGATTCATGACTCTGAGACTTGCAGATCGGCGATTGAGATCATAATCATGTTGGATGCTTTGCTGCAATGGGGATTGGTGGATACGTTTGTGTTCCAAATAAGGCTTTAGCAGAATGACAAAACTTAAAGTCAAATCCTTCAAAAATCACCAAAAACACTGAAAAATACGGGTCCTCATGGCGTCCCTCCCTTTTTTGTTTCAATTGTGCGAAGCTCGTCATTCTTCGACCGACCTACTTTGCTGGCCTGCCCCAAGTTTTTGTTCACCAAGTTCTACCTGCTAGAGCTCATTGTCCTGTCTAATTCTTTCCAGCCTCTTCCGCTTCTGCCCAACTCATTGGCCACTTCCAGAAAGGCTAAGCAGCCTGGGGATGACTCCGAAGCCTTTGTTCGCCAGGAACTGTCGGAGGCTGTTGATTCTGGCTTTGGGATCCGGTTTGGAAGTTTTGGAGTGCTGCAAGGGGGTTCAGTGGAGTTGAGAGGCTACTTCTGTGGAGTTGTGAGACTGCTACCGGATTGAGCGGCTTTGCTGGAATGTCACAGTCAGCTAGCAACTGCGAGAGCCAGGAGAAGGGCCCCCTTACCAAGTCTTTGGTTGCAAAATAGGATTGTTATTTTCAATACGTTGCTGGCAGGGAACACAGTACTTGTAGCATGATGTATAACTAGGTTCTTGCCTCTGTAGCGGTCAAGATCATGACCTTGAGCAGGCACGTGAAGGCTCGGATGCAGCAAAGATCGCATGAGCAGTGTAGGACCTACAGGTGTTTGTGTCTCGTTCTGAACCCAACCAGACCAGGTGTTTGCCTTATGGTAGACTGGTAGACATCGCTGTTGACCATGTATTTTGTTTCATTTTCCGCTATTGATCGGTTGTATTGGTTAGTCAACCACTTGGTGGACAGGATCAGTCCTTGGGTTTCTTGGTCAGTTGACAATATAGCTTTAAACAAAGCCGTTTGAGATTTATTCATGGCCTTGAGTGCCATTGATGGCCCCCTAGCCAGCAACTCGTGAAGCAAATCGGCAACGAGACATGCATCACTATATAGAAGATACGGTAATACCAACAGGGATTGTTTTCACCAGCATGAAGCAAGAAGTGGTCATTGGATTTTGGTCTCAGCCGCATGCTCAAGCGTGGGGTGGCCTTTGACCACGTTTCCACCTGCGGATAATGTTCTTCGCTCCGGCGCGGTTGGATGATGGAACTCTGGTAGAATGTGGGTTACTTTTCTTCCTGACAATTTGTATAATGTGCTTTCTTGTTTTTTTGAGCTTCATGTCCTTTCTGGCCTATTCAATGTATTCCCGACGGCTTGAAGACCTCGCTTCCTTGCGCTTGCAAGCTTTGACCGTCCCAGCAAAACGCAAAAACACCAAGCAACAAAGTCGGGGCCGGCTTAGGCATGAAGTGTGCCGCCACAGTGTCTCGCTGTCGGATAGGATGGTGAAGGCCTTTGGAACGCTCTGGTCTGGCCCCAATAAAACATCCAGTCTGATCGCAGATGATGCTGAGCAATCGATGCCTTCTCTGCCCTCCCCATGTTCTTTTCAGAGCATACTGGAAGATAGGGAGAGACTTGCTATGCTTTTGGAGGAAGCTGCAGGAGAGAGCAACCGGAAGACGGAAGAAGTTGCTCGTGTTTCGAAGGAACTTAACAAGACCACTGGACAGCTTGAGCGCCTCCGTGTGTGTCTGGAAGCATCCCAAGGCATCGAGGCCGAAAATCAATGTATTCTCTCCGAGAATCATGTGCTGAAGACTGAGATCGCCGCAACTCAGAAAGAGCTCAAAAACCTTCGTGAGATTGTGGATGAGTTGCGCCATGATTGCCTGTGCCCAATCCACCAAACACCCATGCAAAGCCCCGTTGTGGCCGCAGATGGCCATTCCTATGATCGCAAAGCGATTGAACGATGGGTTTCCCAGCATGGGACGTCACCTATGACCAACATGGCGCTTCCAAGCACTTCATTTGTGCCGAACATTTTGGCGAGCAAATTTGTGGGGTGCTTGGAGCGAGCTGATCCTTCCTGGCGATCACCCATTGAGTATACCGAGAGTGATGAGGAAAGCTCTGAGCACACTCCCCGTGTGTGGATTTCTGACTCTGAGGATAGCCCTCATGAAACTGGGACTCCACGGGACGTGTACAACGAGGACTCCGCCGCTGAAGTCCTTCGAGCTTTGTTAACAAACAATGACGAGACAGCTCCAGTAGAGGCTTTGTGGAACGTCAGCAACGCGGGCAGTGATGACGGGATGCAGTGACATGGAGTGATAACATTTAGCCTTTATGTAATACTGAGCTTTGCAGAGCCGTTTTTTGCCTGCATTTGCTCACCCAAAGTGGTGGCTGATGTGTGGTGATTGTCACCTAGTTGAAGAAGTACGGTAACCCACAGAATTCAGTTGAAAGTGTTCTAACTTATGACTTATGAATAGAATAGAATAGAATCATTGCCACCTTCTATTTATTATAATATACACATGATGCTTTGTTTTCGGGTTTTGACTGCATGATGATGTGCAAACCAGCATCCCTTTGTGGTCACTTGCAGATGTAGAGATGCTAAACAGGTTGATGACCACTAGAATGGCCTTGACCGTCTGTGCAAAAAACGTCGGGGGACAAATCTGCGCATGAACGACTGACTTGATCAAATCATGATCCAATCATCACAAGGACACTGTAACTTGGACCAATTTACAGGAGCCATCTTGTGCCATGCAGCAAAGAGTTATATGCATCAGGCGAAGAGGCGACGAGCGGAAGAGCATGAAAGACAAGAAAGGCGGACGGTATATGAGTATTGTTTTACCTTCAAAACATGATAGTGCGAAGAGTTCCCTGTTGTCTCTCTCTCATATACTTTTGCCCACAAACTTGAGATGACATCAACAGTTGGCATTTTGTCAGCCTTCAATCGGTTGAAGGCAAAGACAAGAGGCCAGAAAACGTGAGCAGAAGGCCAGCGAATCCAAGGAGCTGAATCCCCTATGAGCATGCCTCAACGGTTAAAAGTCAAAACCTAGAGAGCTACAGGCTACTTCTTTGGATGCGTGTTTTAAAGGCACTCCCGACATAAACAAGGCAGTTCAATCATATGATACAACAGACAAATTATTAGACTTCCTCAAGTCGGAAGCCATGTACCATTTTTGGTTGCCTCAGGTCCACTAAAACCTGTGGTGCAAAACTGCATAGTCATCGTAGGATTTTGCAAGCCGTGCTGAGTCCTTAAGCTCTGGGCTTTCGTGTACTTTTCATTTGATGAAGCAAATGCATGTTCACTCTACTATCACCTCAGCGCTTCTTAGCTGGGTAGAGGATCGGTTGCGAAGAACCTTTGTCGTTCCAGGAGTCCGTGCCTTGGAAGACCGAAGAGCTCGGTTTGCTAGCAAAAGGCCTTCAGAAGTGCCCTGGCCAAAACGAATGTGCTGGTAAATGAGAGATGACGCATGGCCTTTGAATGCCAGTACTAGTGAGAAAGTGGTTCAGGGTGGCGTTGTGAAACATGGGTTGTGATGTGTCCCTCGCATTAGTTTAGGTATGAGTTCCGTTTTTTTTTCCGCTTATAGTAATTGGTGACGTGAACCTGAATGATCAGCTTCATCGCCCCTGTGCAACTGAGGTTTCCTGGTGGCATGGGTGGACGTTGGGCTCTCATCACGCCACTCAGATGACATGAAGCGTTAAACAGGGAGCAAAATTGGAGCAAGAGGGTGCTGCTCTCAGGAAGTTCCTGAATGACAGCGGATATGAAAGAACGGAGAAGGAGGTGGTTGAGAAGACCAAGGAGAAATTTGCATATCCCGATTTCCTAACACGGCGGCCCAGCATCAACATCACATTCACATTTTTGACCAGACAGAAATAGATGGATGAACAAGAAACGTGGCCCTCACAGTCTCCTCAAGCTGGCTCTTCACTGTTTGTGGAGATCATGTGCTTGTGAGGAGCTCTCAGAAGGACAGTCGCTGAGATCCATGGGCTCCAAGATCGCGCAAGAGGGTCCCAGCTTCCAGGCCTGACCAGCCCTAGTGCTCCACCGGTGGTGATTGCGTTTTGATGAGGCCGCGCCTAAGCCAAAGGCCAAGGCACAGACCATGTTTTTCGGGTTGCTTGTGGTATGGAGAAGAAACATGGCAAGTGGAGTGAGGTAGTTGAAAGTGGCAGGCAGCAGCAGTGATTTTCAACTCGTCATTTGAGAGCACATCCGACATAGGAAACAAGAAGCTACTATATAGTAACAAAGGGCATCGCTACTAGGAACAAGGACGCTACTAGATACATGTCAAGGCTGCAGCTGCGGAACCTCAAGAGGTGCCAAGCACAGTCTGAGCGTGGGGCCAATTGGCAGTTGGTGGGGAAAGCTCAATGTTGGCGTGCAAGCTGGGTTTGTCTGACTTCAATACACCTTGTAGGAGGAAAACTGGACAAGAAGGCGGGGTTTGCACAATACAGCTGGCAGGTAGTGGGATCCGAAAATGGGAACGCTGAGAAGAAGGCTGGACAGCACTGACCCGCAATCGTTCGCTGGCGACCTTCCTGCCAAATGGACACAATAAGCACAATAAGTTGCGATGTGCTCCTAGTAGCGATGCCCTTTGTTACTAGTAGCTATTTGGTTGTAGTGTGGTTCAATTTTGAGTGTGTGACTGTCCTTTTTTGGGGATGGTCAAATCCCACAGGATGCAGAGTGGAGTCCCGAGCAGCAGCAAGCGCTGGAAAAGGCTCTACAGAGGACTGGCAACTGAAAGCTTGCTTTCGTAAGATCTAGATTCTACATAGGCGCAGCACCTGTGTGATTTGAGTGGATTTCATGCTGTTTCTCCATGCAGGCATCCGGCCAGTCTTGATAAGAACGAAAGATGGAAGCTCATTGCTGCCGATGCTCCTGTCTCAGCGACTGGCTGATATTTGTTTTTACATGTCTCAACCTTGTCTTTGCCACTAGGTGCCGGGTAAGAGCAAAGCTCAGTGTGTGGAACGCTTCAAGTTTCTC